GTCTGTATTGTCCAGGTGTGTCACTCTGATGTGTAGGGCCAAAGTTACGGCGTCCTCTGTAGACCAGTTGGGGCAGTATGAAAACTAGTATGGATCAAGGGAGGCCGGCAGGTTTTATGAGTGTGTCTGTGTCAAATGACAAATTTTTTCGGGGCATGGAATAGCAGCTCACTATTTTAGAAACAATAGTACAAAATACAATGCTAAATGCCAATTGCACTTATAATACTCAGAATACTCACTGAGGACTGTACTCGTAATACTCATTTCTAACTACTTGTAGTGCTCACTTCCTAATCTGGTAAACATTACTTAAAAAAGCGTTTCCTGGTTCATCCTGTAAGTTCAGTGTTAGTACCAGGGTTCGAATCTGACTTGTGCCAGCATTCTGGGGTGTTGTCCTTCGCTAATGGGGCCTTGCATCTCCTCCATTCAGTATTGGCTGGTGCTTTAATACCACGAAAGGTGTGATTAACTTGTACTGGGTGAGCGTCCAGGTGGGAATGCGGGTGTGGGTAGTTGGCTATAGGAGGACAGTAACATTAAAAGTATGATTTGCTGAAAACCTGACTTCATGGTTTCTGGAAAACGGTCCTGTTCATTCCAAGGAGTGACGTATACTGTAAGTCCTGTATGCCGTGTGTCTCTGTGAGGCCCCTCGCATGCCCCCCCCCCCCCCCCGACTTCAGCGCAGTGAGCTAAATTGTACCCAGGATGTGTCTCCTAGATGAATAATGAACAAATAACATCTTGTGCTTAATCCTCCTCTCCTGCATTCCTCCGCTCTGTCGGAGATGTATTTTCCAGGAGGGCAGTGTGGTGGGAACTCTGGGAACTGGGAATTGGGACTTGCGTGCGCTTAGTCGATCTCGACTTCGCTCACCCAGGCTGTTTAAACCCCGAGGGCAAGGGGCAAACTCCTCCTAGCCACTATCCCTCTCTGTCATTCCTGCATTCGGTGGGCCAGGTGAGGAATCTGCTTCTATGGAAACAAGTGCCCAGTATCGATGGAAGAGTGACCAATGGATCCAATGCGATGAACATATTAGTCTTCACTTAAATAGACTCACACAGACTATGTTAAGACGAATTAGCCAGCCGTGTTTTACATGTCCTCGTTTACAAGAAAGTGTCGTAGAAAATGAACCGAAACACACTTAACGTCTTTGATAATAGCACCTGTCCGTAAGCCAGACAGTGGAAACATACTTTAATAATGTCTTAATAACTGTTTAATCCCTACACCAGTCTTGGTGAGAGAAGACTGCTGTTTTCATTAATAAGGCTTTTTCTTAGTAACGGTGAAAATCAGCCAATAAAATAAGTGGAAATTTTGTGAAAACCGCGAACTGAGCTGCTGTTTTCCAGCGAGACGCTAAGACACGATTTAAAAAAAGAAAGAAAAACATATATATGTCACCTTAAGTTTCCAGTGAAAAGCAAAACACTAACCAGGATCCTGCTTTCCCATGAAAAGCAGGTGTTTTTAATTAAAAATATATATTCCAAACCATAATTTCCTAATTGGACAGCCAGGTTGCTGTTGCATGGGACTGACGTGCCATTAACTGTGGATTGCGTGTTACGTATCCGTGGCTGTTGGATGCAGCCCGAAGCTGGCCCCGTTTCTGCGTTATCGACTGCTGAAGCTGGCTGGCGTGTCATTCCATGCAGTGTTCTGACCTTTCGTGGGTGAACTTTCAGCATGCTGACCTCCTTTGAGTAGCAGGGATTACCTTTTAACCTGTACCAGGAAACACACCGAGATCATTAGGCGTATGCTGAGAAATTTGAAAGTAGATTAGAGAGATGGGTTTGGACTGGCAGCTGAGAGTGCTTGTCTGGGTTAAACACTTCAAGCCCTCGGTACTCAGACGGAGGATGATTGGCGGAAACCTCAGTTTTACTGGGTACCTGATGGAGCTTGGTGCGCAGTAGGACCCTGGGGCACCTACATGGACTGCAATGTCCTGTACCCCTTGATGTTGACCTCGGAGAGATGGTCTTCAAAAGGATCCTGACCAGCACAAAGTTAAAAGGAGTGGGACACTCCTCACCAGCGAGCCAGAATCCAAGTATTCAACATCCACCAACGTTCAGTCTCATGGGCTTTGAGCAAAGCTGATGGGACTGAAGATTTACCATACACCTCTGCTTCTGCCCCTTCATTCGTCCTTTTGGGAAGTGGGAAAGCAGAACAGGAGCTGGCAAAGAGCACCGAGGCAGGAAATAAATCCAAGAGGGGTGGCTGTGGCCCGCTTCCCGTGGTGGATTCTTGGCACGTTACCCAGTGACTCTGTGGCCTACGCAAAACGTCAATGATACAAAGACTCATCAGCCAATCGTTTGTCACCGTTCAAATCAGACAGAGAGGGGTAGGTTGCTGAAGAGCACATGACATACACAGTGACTAATGGAACAAAAAAAAGGAATGGTACTTTGGATTGGACAGAAAGGACAAGGGTGTGTGACACATCCAGGAACCTCGTGTCGTGCAGCAGTGAGGACCCTTCTGAAATCAGGCTGCAGTACAACTCAACCTGATCTAGGATAAGCCATCGTTCAGCTTGCGATTCAGCTGGTGGTGGGAGGAAAAACATCACCTGGTGAGGCACAATGGAAACCTGTAACGTGACTAACAGGAAGTGGGAGGAACCAGCTGCTCATTGATGGTATCCGATCATCCCACCTAGAGTTGAAATCTCCCATGGTTCCTCTAAGCTCGCTGGGTTGTCTTTGTTGATCGCTGCAACACTGCCCCCTAGAGGTGACCCGTCGGGCCACTTGTTGAAAACCATGACAGTTGTGGTGGTCCTCCATTGAGTATGGATGGGGATCAAGATGGCGTTTATCAGGCAAACATCCTTTAAGAATCTAAACCACTATGCTTCCGGACAGCCAGGAAAGGCAGAAATTTCTATAAATTCAGCTTAACCCCAAATATTACTTAAAATGCAAACCCATCAATAAAAAAATCACCATAAAATATTAAATTTCTATGATGAAAAAAACATATGTGTTGAACACCCTCCAGTTTCTTATTGATATCTCAAAATGGTATTTCTTTTATGACACTAATGAGGTCATGCAGGTGGGCAATTAAATGACAGGTGTTAAATGACAGATGAGATGCGCAGAAATTCCCACAATCCAAAGACATGCAGTTCGTTAGAATTACTCTCTGTGTATGTGCCCTGTGATTGGCTGGCATTCTGCACACAGTGCCCTCCTGTCTCATGTCCTGTACTTTCAAGGACAGACTCCGCAAAGCCCTGTACTGGAGAAGCACTTGGATGATGGATGGATGTTGTGTGACAGACTTGAGTTCTGCAAATCTCTGTTTGTTTACTTGTTATGTGTCAGAATAATAGCCCCCTTCCTCCACCCCACCCATGTTGTATGTTCCATGAGATTCCATAAACACTTCCAGTCTACATAAATGCATGTTATTTGACCTGTGAACTGCAATAAGATACAAATTCATCACAATTAGGGAGAATGGATTGTTCTGCATACAGGAAGATCGGAGCCTTTCATTGGGAAAGGATGTTCCTGTATTCTAGAGGGATCTCATCAAAATGTATTTAAAACTTTTTCCAGCTGGACCTTGCCCTTTCTGTCACACCAAATGTTTATGTATTTATTAGCTTTTAGCTTGTTCTCGCTGCCGCACTGACGTTCCCTTTCCTGTTCTCCTGGAGACGTTCCAAGTAAGTGAGTTATGGCGAATTTTAATGCGATCCCATTGAACGGATCATTCGAGGAGCCTGTCCATGTCATTGGCCCCTGCAAATTTTCTGAGCTGTCTATAGGCTCGCGTGAAGGCCAGCTTGAGCTAGCCAGACAGAACTTCCGCTCAGATCGAAGATACAAGTTGGGCCTTCATTTTGGGTGCTCCACTAAAACGATGAACGTTAAAATTGTGTTATTGGATTAGTGGTCATGACTGAGGGTTTTATGATGCCGGGCTCTCTGTGTTATTTTAAAATTTGCCATATTTAGCATCTTGTGGTTTAGCCAATGCGGAAGGACTCGGCGAGCGCCGCTCTGTGTGGCAAATAGCTAAAGAGGCGCCATGTGAAGGGAACTAGACCTAGAGGCAGGAAAACCTGCCTCGCCCCAGAAGGCCGATGTCACTGCCCAGGGTTGCCCAGGGTTGCCCCGGTCCGGGAGGCGTTCGTAAATCCATTCCAGAAGCGAGCGGTGAGCGAGCGGCGCGTGGCAAAGCCGTTGTTCTCCAGAGAGGAGGGAACAGAATGTCCTGGCTTCCCATGTCCGTTTCGCCGGCAGAAAGAGGCGCCGTTTTCGCGTGACTCGTCCCGCTGTTTCCTCATTCTTCACAATTGTCCTTTAAACAGAGCCCGTTTGCCATGATGCACAGAGTGCTTTTAAATGACCATCATTCCGGCTGTCGACAGCATGTTTATATACAAAACTTTGTGTCGGAACGTGAATCTTTTTTTTTTTCCCAGAAAAAGCATCAGCAGATATCGAGCACACTCCCCACCCTGCCCCCACCCCCCAGGCTTCAGCGCAGCACCCCTCCTCGTTTCCCATTTGCTGTTGTTTATTTTCTGTCGCTCAAATCACAGTCATTCCGTTTCTCTCTGGTGTGTCCTGCTGACAGGACTTGCTGTCCACTTGGAATCCTCTGACCAAACTCTAGGTCAACACCATGATTTTGGGAATAAGAACCTATCAGCGTGAGGGAGACTGCAGGACACTCCTCATCAACATGGAAATAGGGTGATGGAGAGCCACAATAAAAGCCTACATTTTGTGTGAAGTCGAACGAGTTTAATACTCTTGTAAAAGGCTCATGAAATCTTGATTTGTCGCAAAAATTTGTAGGATTGTTGATAAGATGTAAGAGGAAATATCAGTTTCCTTAAGAATTCCAGACGTAAGACTTGTAACCGTATCCACCCGTCTGAAGGATGGTTCATTTTCATGCATGCATTTACTGCATTAGCACTGACATGACTCTGTGGCAGTTTGGCCATTCCAGTCTGGCTTTACCTGCCTTCCCCCAAAGCCTACCCGAAGGAACACATCCCCACTAATCACCCTTAACACTTCTTAACACCATTCATCATACCCTGCAGCTTTGCTTTTTAATTGGGTTTTTCCTGGAGGAACTTATCCTGCTCAAAAGCCTTTGAAAAGACATTTCACTCTCTGCGTTATTACTTAATGAAAAGAAATTAAGCGTCTTGCTTAACTGTGCTGGCAGTAACGCGCGGTTTGCCTTGGCAGGACTCGACGCACGTCCAAAGAACCCTCTTCGCAGTTACATATCAGTCCCAAAGCACCCAGCCATAACAGATGTCCAAAAATCGTACTGCGAATAAATAGCCCTTTGGTAATGCCGATAAATAGTTTCCAACAACGATAGCTTTATTATCATTTTATGAGATGCTAACTACCAGCAGCCGACGAGATTAGGAAATATACATTAATGTTAAAATTGGTTGGAAAACGACCACGGAGGAATGTTTAATATATATGAGTTTTCCACCAAGTAAAACCAGAGCAAGAAATCAACGCTCCTGACTCCTTTTGCTGTCACGCCTCACTTTCAGGAATTTTTAGGAATTGTTTTTATGGCTACAAACATCTGTGCAATTGGGATTTATTGTGTGGCAAGACATACAGAAGTCCAGTTAATCTTAGACGGATCGCCCCCGTTTGGGGGACGATGTAACTCAGAAAGTAAAACGAAATCTTTGTGGAGTGGAACGCATCTGACGTGTTTATTCTTCTCGATTCCCAAAAAAATATGCTAAGATTTAATGCCAAACACCTCGGAAAAATAATAACAATAAAAAAACCTACTTCTTGCCGTCAGTGTTTTAACTGCTACTGACAAACACTAAAGCCACAAAAGTCAGTACTTTGCATTATGTCTGTCAGTGCTGGTATTGGATTTATATTGGTTGCCCCAAGTGTAAAAACAAAGTGTAATCTGAAGAAATATCGTGTAACCACTTCACTGTAAGGTTTAGAAAGGCAGCGTTGAGATATGGGCTCAGGCTGGGCTGAGTGAGCTACAGAGACGCGTTATGGAGCTGCGGCTTCACATCGCCTATGGAACACTGCTGTTGTACCCTTGTGTAGGAAATTAAACTTCATCAAGCTGCCTGCTGAAATAATCGGTAAAATTTCAAACCATGCAGTTGTATTTAAAAGTTATAGAACAACAAAAATGTTTTTGTTTTCCTATTGGAAAAAAAAAAACTTTCTAAATGTGGTAATGAAAATCATTATCTGTTGAAAGCTACTGTCAGCAGGGTCAGGGTAAACAATGCTTGACTTGCAGGTCCATGCCAGTCTTATGAAGGCAGGGTAAGTTCTGAGGGCTGTCTAAAAATATCTCTATACAGTACATTAGCGCTCTGATACATTCCGGTGTCTGCGACAATGCCCGGACAGACACACGCGACAGCTGCGTTTGTATACGAGCTATTTGGTTAGTTTGGGTTCTTTGTGGATACGTTATATTTAGCTGTTGCGTCGATTTTTGTAAGAACATTACCCTATTGTCCAGGCTTTAATTCCAATAAAAAATATATATGTATAATTATATTTAGAATTAAACTATGTATGTAGCATTTTATGCATATATGTAATGTCTTTCCGCTATAAAAAAATATAAATATAATGTAACTTTTATTTAACGTAGATATTAACCAGCGATACTATATAGAAATATTTATGATGAAGCGCTATAAAGAGGCCGTCCGGACAGGAGTCCGTCATCTATATTAACGGTGTTAAAAAAGTATAAAATATTTTAAATATCATTATTTTATTTTAGTCCCAAGCCTGTAGACTAGCTGTTTTTAACTGATTCTTCTTTTGTGATAAGTTTTTGCAGAAATACGGGCTATTACCACAGGAATGAAAAATATTCGATTGTCTATTAACTGTGTAATAATAATAATAATAATAATAATAATAATAATAATAATAATAATAATAATAATAATAATGGTCCATAGCACTATGTGCTTTGGACCCGTAATAATAATAGGCTAGAAATAGCAGCACATGTAGCAATAGCAGTAGCAATACTCTTTTTAGTATTACGCTATATTCCTCTTGTTTTTACTAATACTAATAATGAGAGATTGGATCGTTCCGTTGGATAATAATTAGATAGAATTTAGATGAATTAGGCACTTTTCACTATTAGAAATTATATATTTTTCAAGCCTGTCATGCCGTTTAATTAACGCCGGTGACAGACTGATTGGCACTTCTTATACACTTAAGCATTTAGATGTGAGAGAGTCCTTACAGGTTTCCACTGACTTGGGGCAAGAGGTGCGCTCCCGGACCCGGCGTTGGTTTGCAGCTCACGCGTGTCCTCTGTCGCAGTATGCGCGACGTGGAGTATAGTCGATGACGCCATACGCTTCGTCCCCCCCAAAAGCGCTCCCCATTCATAGCACTAAGCGGACAGCGGAGGGGCAGCGGCAGCGCGGGTGAAGTTGCGGTTGTCCAGGATCCCACGTTGTGCACAGGGCGCTGCAGAACCAAAGCACGTCTACAGGCAAGCTAAGCACGGAGAAAAAGAATTTAAACGGACAAAAATATGCCGCGCTTCTGCAAACAGAACTGTAGATTTCACAGTTGAACTGCTAAAGAAAAGTTTTCAAAAATGTGTTGTTGTTTATATTGAATCATTGTACGAACACAAATTGGCTTTTGATACGCTGATCATACTGTTGAGATCTGAAGAGCATCAAGGTGCCATGCTGTTTTTCTGTCCCTGATGTTTTTATAGGTTTACTGCATGTCGGAGAAATGCTAGTGTGCTATGGAGGACCAGTGTCGCCAAAATGAGTTCGGACACTGATGATGCTGCGAAGTTTTGGAGTAACGGATCCTCGGAGCTGTACGGCGGGTTACTGTTGGAGCCCAACAGCACAAATCTGACTTCGGGGAATGAGTCCGAACCGAATGCACTGGACCTCACTCGGGCGGTCCCCCTGGGTATGGTCTTGGGCGCATTTATCGTTTTCGCCATCGTGGGCAATATCCTTGTCATTCTTTCTGTGGTGTGCAACAGGCATCTGAGGACCCCCACAAACTATTTCATTATCAACTTGGCCATCGCCGACTTGTTGCTGAGCACCACGGTCCTGCCTGTCTCCGCCACCTTGGAGATCCTCAACTACTGGGTGTTCGGCAGGATCTTCTGCGACATTTGGGCGGCGGTGGACGTGTTATGCTGCACAGCATCCATCATGAGCTTGTGCGTGATCTCCATAGATCGCTACATCGGAGTGAGCTACCCGCTACGGTATCCCAGCATCGTTACAGAGAAGAGAGCTCTCCTTGCCATGTTCGGGGTGTGGGTTCTGTCGGTGGTCATTTCGATCGGACCTTTGCTAGGTTGGAAGCAGGCGCCCTCACCTGACGACAGGGTATGCAGAATTAACGAGGAGCCCTTTTACGCACTGTTTTCATCCCTAGGATCCTTCTACATACCTTTGGTGGTCATACTGTCCATGTACTGCCGAGTGTACATAGTGGCCAAAAAGACAACTAAGAACCTGGAGGCCGGCGTGATGAAGGAGCGGACGGACTCCAGTGAGCTCACGCTCCGGATCCACAAAGGATCGCAGCTTCACGAGGACAGCGGGAGCACCGGCAAGGGCCGGGGTCAGCCAAGCCGGAGCTCCCTCACCGTCAAGCTGCTCAAGTTCTCACGGGAAAAGAAGGCTGCTAAAACCTTGGGCGTTGTAGTCGGCATGTTCACCTTGTGCTGGCTGCCCTTCTTCATCGCGCTGCCCATTGGTAAGCGGCAGTTCTTTTATTGCTCCTATAAATGTACCGCCGCCCCTTAAAGTAAACCTCTAATGGTTTTGGTCAGAAGAAATGTTTCCAGCGAATTTAACTGTAATCATTAATCTTATGTGCACTTCTTGGAAAATTTAATTTTCATTTAGGCCTAATGTTTTTTGAATATTACATTTAATTGGTATGAACTCTATGATCTCTATGAACAAATGTTAAATCTTAATTTTTAACTATGCGTTTCCGAATTTTTCGCGTTATACGGCAAAAGTAATAAAATCACGATTTTATCTAAATAGCTGTTTGTAGTCAAGTTCAGCAATATCAAAATAACACTTTTATTACAAGGCAGGATCTCTTTTTGTTGTTATTAACGTGGTATATAAAATACTTTGTAAAGTTGATGCGAATATTTAAAAATATAAAATGAATAGTGGAAAATATAACGTAAAATGCTGACGATGTTTTGAAATGATTTCAATATTTCTAAGATAAAATAATTGTATTATTATTAGCATTTATTTTTAATCCAACGGATGCTACATTATTATGACTCTAGCGTTGTGATAATACAAACGGCATATTTTGAACTAAAGTGTGTTTAACTGTATAGGACAGAACTTTTTACATGACAGAAATATATAATTGAACGCATATTTTGTTTAGTCTGAAAAATTGTCTAGATGACTGAAAAAAAATACATTTCGAAATATCGTTAGCTTAAAAATTTTGGTATGATAAGCATGAATTTTAAAACATTATAAAATTAATTAATAAAAAAGGCCAAAACAAATTACTCTAGGTGGAGTTTGGTGAAAGCAGGGCAAATTCCCGTGTTTTTTTTAATTATTTTTTTTAATGTTTTAAGCACGTTTCATTGTTAATAGACCATTATTAAGGTAGACCACACAAGGTCAGGTGAGTACATCAAGCAAAATATTAACTGGTGTCTCTCCGAGAAAATAATCTAACATTTCAATATGAAACTTTTACATGCCAGCCATGGTATATACTTGTTCCCAGCATATCAATTTTCCAGTTCCATGTGTTGGGATCTTACCCGCCCTAGGCCAAACTCGACTCCCAGTCAAACCCTTTCTCAAGCAGTACACCGACTGCGGACCCAGTGTTTAGTGTAGTTTTAAATTGGGACACATTACAGATATATTGTCCAATTGATGTCCTGGACGTTTCATTTAATCCCGATATTGGTTAGACGGACCCAGGTCTTTTTCACTTACATTCCTGCACTGTGCTAAAAAGCCACGTCCTACTATCTGTTTCACTGTGGATTGTTAGTGATTGTTACTGATCTTTACATACATTCTTTACTATAATCTCCGTGGGAATAGACTAAATGTTCCCTCCTATAAAGATATAAATGCTCAAAACTGATAAAAAAAAATTAGTGTTGACTTCAGTGTTTCATGTGTTTTTGTTTGGTTTGTTCGTGCATGTTTTTGAATTTTATCCAGAATATTTTATGCCGTTAAAGTGTGACCCCGAGTTTAGCAAGAGTTGTTACAGCTGGGGAGAGATATGTCTGAAAACAATCGCAGTGATATATATTTGCTTTGATGAACAACATATTTCATGTGAAAACAGGGAGTGCGCAGGTGCAGCAGCACAAATTGACGGCGATCTTGCAGATCTGTGATGCAGTAGTTTGTTTGACTGCGCAAACACTTCATATTAGCAGGAGGGTATTTGTACCCTTTGTGCAGAGCCAAGCCCTGCGGACAGAGGGCAGCTTCCATGGAACCCTGGCACCGCTGCTCCTGGACTTTGTTTTCTACCTGGAGCGGGTCAGAGGGTTCTCTGGCGTTAGAGACTTTAGGGTCCATCCCTCACAGAAGTCCAGTTTTCAAAGCGCGCCGTGGTCCACGTGGTAAGAATGAGTGCCCCGTCCACGTTTGACAGGATTATAGTGTTGCATAAACAGGATGGTCACACGGGCAGGCTCTGGGCTAGCGAAGGCAGTTGCTAGGAGACCGGAGGGAGATCAGAGCCACTTCCCGAAGAGTCTCCAGAGCTCTGCCATCCCATAAACTGATGCCAGGCCCCCCAGTGGGTTCCTGTAGCCCAGGCACGGTCGGGTGATGCATCACGCCACTGCCCCCGCACTCTCTGCATAGCGTCATCTAGTGGAAATTAAATGTCGTGCCAAGTGCAGTAACGGCATCACCAATTCCTCACCATGGTCATGGAAGCATGGAGTGGGGAACACATACAATGTATCCCTCTCTCCCATTGCGTGGAACCCCATATGTTGACCATGTGGGAACGTTCAGTGAGAAGACGTGGTCGTCCAGCATGGTTTCTCAATACGTGTCGGAATTATGAATTATCAAGGATATGTACACATCCTGGACTCAGTCAATGACGGAATATTAGGCATCTGGACAACAAGGTCTTCATAAACAGCCCAGACTTTTCTTCTTATGAGTGAGTACTTTCCATTTTGATGGGTTTTGCAGGGAGATGAGGACTGGGATGGTCCCCAGAATCAGACACGCTCCAGGTGATCTTTTGATCCGGGGAGTGAAACCTGACAAGAGTTTAGTCACATTTCTGCAGGTCATGCCAGACCAGAATGGACCAGTAGAAGCCAACGGCTGCATTTACATTCATTTATTTACATTATCCAGAGTAACATACAATTGAGAAGGCAAGGTCAGCTGTTCCCAGGAACAATTGGGCTTAGGGGCCTAGCCAACAGTGACATCACTCTGCCAGCCATGGGATTTGAACAGTATCCTAACCCACGGAGCCGCACGCTGCCCTGCTCGTGGCATTCGTCAGTTAAAGGGAAAGCCGAGATGAAGATGGATGAAGAGGAAGATGGCAAAATTGGGAATGAATTCTAAGGGTGGCTAGCCCAGTGGTTTTGGGGTGGACTGTAACTCCTAATGGTTGCTGGTTGTTGAAGTACCAGGATGAGTCTTTCTGTACTACAGCAGTATGCTACTCAGACAAAATTACCCCATGTACCTATCCAGCTGTAAAACAGCAATGTTTTTGTCAGATTTATGAGTTCCTCCCCAAAGTGAGCATAATGAACTGCTTTTGTGAAAGATGTCTGAAAGTTATGGGGCTGTCTGCATGAAAGGTATCGTCAGGGAGACGTCTGTGGTGGCTTTTGTTGGCAAGGCAGACGTGTGAGGAAACGCGCGGGACTAGTCCAAGTGGTTGTGTCCAGCCAGGGGAAAGAGACTCTCAGCCATGTGCTGACAGCTCCTGTGGCCAGCAAACACGTGGATTACGTGAATTACCATTTCAGGCAATCCCTGCCGGCTCGCAGCACTTCATTTGAGCTCAGCCGCTGGCTAGTGACAAATGCGTCCCTTTTTGGGTCCCATTTTCTGTTTCTTCTGTGGTGTCTTCTCAGCTTAACTGGGTTCTCGCAGTTGTCGAGGGCGACATGCTTTTGACCAATCAAAAGTAATCTTACGTGGCCATCTTAGAACGATTACCCTCTTAGCCCGACTAGTACCCTGTTATTTAAAGTGACACAAATCCCTTTAAGCATCACAGCTGACTGCTCTGCCACGTTGATACCAAAGGTAACAAGGGTCTGTGATTGTGAATAATGATAAACTCTGGGAATTTAAGTTCCTTAATCAACTGAAGAGGATACTTAGGCCCTCTCTTTGATTTTGAAGGGCATGCTGAGCATGAGATGACAATGAAAGATAGCTGTCTGAAGACCATAGTCTCAAGGTGCTAAGGGCAAAGGATTCTCATGTTGAATCTGAATGGAAGGATTAGCACATGTGGGGCAATTTTAATGCATTCTCTTTCACATACCGTGCCAGAATGCAGCGTTGAGTTTGCTGGTAGTGCTTTTGAGTTAATTCCTTTCTTCTGTGACCATCCACGTCTTCAGACGTCTGTATTTCCACTCAGGGCTGGTATGAGTGATGTCATGTGATACAACATTTTCTCCCCTCTTCAGACTCTTCCTTCTTCTCCGAGAGGACCCTCCCCTTCCTGGAAGGGACACGTTGGTGTTTTTACATGAGCTGGGCTTTGTACCTTCTTCTCTTATCCTCTCACCCGGCCAGTGCTCCCATTACACGTTGCTCTGTGTGCTGAGTAGTGCTTGCTAACAGAGTTATTAGGTGGTTTGCTGCTCTTTTGCGGTCCCACATTTCCCTGCTAGATGTTAGAAATGGTCCAGCTCGCCCTTATACACCATAGACAAAAAGCAAGAAAAATGGCTCCACTGTTTATTTATTTGGTTTTTCCCTCCTGCTTGGTTTCTTCTGAAAGTCAGTGGTAAACCTGCAGAGTTGGGCAAATAGAGGATCTGGACCACAGTGAACAGAACCAGGAGTCTGCTGTGGTGGGGATCGCTGTCACAAAGAGGTCACATGGGAGAAGGCAAAGCAAAGCGGATATTTGAGTGTAAACATGAGGGTCGGCTAGCTGGGCGGTTTAGGGAAAATGCACATACACACACACGCACGCACACACACAAACACACGCACGCACACAGATACACAAAAATAGCAAGCTAGCTTACTCCGATGTCCTTCAAACACAGAAGTCGATTGGAAGCGGAACTAAGAACTGTAGAGGCTGCTCGGAGCGGGGAGACCGTGCTCGTAACATTGGAGAATCCTGCTTGTAACGTTGGAGAAACCTGTTCGTAACATTGGAGAACACTAGAGAAACGTGCCTGTAACACTGGAGAAACGTGCCTGTAACACTGGAGAAACATGCCTGTAACACTGGAGAAACGTGCTCTCCTCTCACAGCAAGAACTGTCTCCACTGACGGCCATGTCTACGTGAATCACATTAAGGAGGTAATGAAATGAGACATATGGCTCAGCATCCTAGTCCCATAACGATGGCAGAGATTATCGCAGAGCCAATCTTTTTTACATATTAATCAGTTTTGCTGTAAGCAGGGATGTAACAGGATTGAACATTGGAGCGAGGCAGTCTCTGCATGCGGGCATGCATGACACGCAGTGGCACCATGGCATGCAGTCATCACGCAGAAAGGGCTGTGGGAAATGAAGCCCGGATGCTCCCTTCCCCAGCATCCTCACAGTGGTGAAAAAAAAAAATCATTAGCCCTCCGTGGATAATTGCGTTATTTTTTCCCACTCAGATTTCACAGGCATTTAATAGGTACGATCGGTGCTAATGTTCCGCAAAAGTTTCCCAATTAGAGACGGCCGGGCCGCCGAACGTGACACGGGTGCTGCCAGAGTGGAGTGGCGTCTTTAATGTGCCCTGGGATGAAGGAGAAGCCCCCCCCCCCAACCCCAGTGGAAATTGAAAACGCATCTCAGGCGAAGAGTAATGAGCGGCTAAGTGCACAGCGGCGGAAATGTGCTGGTGTCACTGGAGCACTGAGGCCCAAAGGGAAGAACTGCATCCCATCTT